CTCCCAGTCCTGCCTCCAGGTCGGGGCACGTCTCTGCCCTTTGTGCTTCTAAAACCGCCAGCCGCTCCCAGTTCACTTGCATATGACCCCACCGCAGTTCACTTGCGCACGACCCCGCCGCTCCCGGTTTCCGCCCCAGGGGCTGCCCTAAAGTCCTTTCCCACCGCTACCGGTCTGCTAGTCTGTGACCCGTCCCCAGTGTGCGAGGCTGTCACTCACTGTCCGTGTAGGATCCCCACGTCCAGGCACCCTCCCACTGCCGTTTATCCTCGGATATCTGACCGCAGAATCACGGCTCTCCACTTCGTACCTCAAAACCAACCGCCTGCGATATTCTGTTTGTAGAGATCCAGATCTTCTTACATCTCAGGCTGGTTTCGTGGGTGCTCAGAGTGGTCTGGTAGATATCCAGCTCAATTTGGGGGACCAGTTGAAATAGGGTCCCCTACTCCTCCGCCATCTTCCCCCCCTTTTTACATAACTTCTAAACATAAGCTTTTTTCAAGCTATTGACAACTCTTTAGATACATTTTAATGATTTTATAATGATATGATGTTTGCTTAGTTATTCAGCTAATGAGCCCTTAGTTTGTTTCCATTTCTCTCCTTCACAATTGTCAGTCAGGCTGCAGTCAATGTCTCTGTTCTTTATCCCTCCTTGGCGTCTAGCTGAGAATGCCTTCTGATAGTAACACCCCTCTGGTTCTATTTCAGTAAGAATGTTTACTATGTGACTAGCATTTATTCTTTCCATTTAGCTTTCTTTTCTTAAAAAAATGGCATAGCTAAAAGATTGTAGGTTTTCTTACTATAAACATGAACAATATCACACACTCTCAGATATACTGTAGGCTTATCTATGGCTTACTATTTCTTTACAATCCTTTGTTACTACAGGATGGAGCTATCTCATAAGAAATCAGTTCTATAGAATTCACCCATGTAAGTCTACTATAAAAAGAACCATGCTTTACTACGCACAACAAACAACATAGCACAGAAACAGCTAAATAAAGGAATGTTTGAGGGGATCATTATAGTACTTTATGAACATAGCCTTTTATTAAGGAATATGTAGAACTAATGTCATGCAAATTACTCTAAGCTGTTTTTTTTTTTAAGATTTTTTTACTTATTCATTTGAGACACAGAGACAGAGAAAGAGAGCATGAGCAGGGGGAAAGGCAGAGGGAGAGGGAGAAGCAGGCTCCCCGCTGAGCCAGGAACCAGATGTGGGGCTCAATCCCAGGACCCTGGGATCATGACCTGAGCCGAAGGCAGACACTCAACCATCTGAGCCACCCAGGCACCCCAACTCTGAGCTATGTTTTATGATATATTCCATGTAATTCAATTTTCGTAATGGATTGGACTGTTCATTCCTTTGAAATTAAAAATGTCATTATGAACCTGTGAACCATTCTGAGGAAAATACAAAAACAAAGTGACCTTTAATGTCCTTTTCCAAGTCTGAAGTTCTATGAAAACACTAAGGTTAGGAAATGACATGTAAGTTTTAATGACCAAAATGTTTGAAATGATACTAAAAATGTCTAAATGATCTAATTCTGAATCCAATAAGATTCCAAGCTTTGATGGTTTTACCTCAAAATCCTTCACATCTGTCTATTCTTTTTGCCCCTCTCCCCATCATTGCCTATTCATCCTATACCTCTGATCAAGCTCCCATATTAGGTAATGCATTTTGGCTTGAAATCTTGATATTTGAAGACTTACAAATCAAATCCTATGTATGCACCACTGTATTAATACTTATACACTGTAAAATTACACAAAAAGAAATGAAAACAATGTAAGGTTAAATATAAATACAGATATTTGAGAACTGCTAGATTTTATAATGGCATTGAATCAATATTAATTTTCTCACTCGTACGTAAGAGAATGTACTTATCTGTAGAAACTACACACTGAAGCATTTAGGGGTAAAGGGATATCATTATCTGCAATGTACAATCAAATGATTTGAAGAAACAAACAGAAAAAGAATGTGATAAGTGAAATAAAATGTTGACAACTGGGGAGATGGTTAGGTGAAGGGCACTTTTTTTTGTAGTTTGAAATTATTTCAAAATAAAATTTAAAATTGTGTGTGTGTGTGTGTGTGTGATGTCCAAGTATTTCTTCTTGCCCCCTTTGGATGGCCTTGCACACCCCTTGGGTTTTATACTCCAGTCTGGGGTCAACTGGCCCAGACTATAGTAATAATGTCCAAACTGTTCTCTTGGCCTCTTTTCTACCCTCTTTTTGCCTAACCTCAACTCAGCGGTTAGTGACCTTCCTAAAGTATAAATCTGATGATGTCACTCCCCTTCCTTAAAATCCTCCATGATTCTAAGTTGACAAGAGAACATAGAAACTTTTTAGATGATCACATGAGTCTTTTCATTGTTAGTCCCATTTCTTCATTAATAATCTATGTTCCAGCCAAAAGAACTCCTCGCATTTGTAACTTTTATTGCAAATAGTGTTTCTTCTAACTGGAATGTTCTTCCTTTGTCTGCCTTTTCTACTCCTATTTAACCCTTGAGACTTAGCCTCAAAATTTCATCCTCTATAGTCCCTGATAACCTTGCCATTAACCACTTATCCCATAGCAATTATTTTATCACATTTTAATTATCTGCTGTAGAAGTCTACCTCTAAAACCAGCTGCTAGAGACTAGTGATCAGACTTACTCATCTCAGTATCTGTTGCAACCTGATCCATCTGTGGTGGTTAGAACAGTCCCTAGTACATAGCAATGAATGCCTGTGGGAAAAATGAATGAATGAATAGAAACCCACACCGAAACTACTGCAGAAGGTTTTATGTGTTCTGTCTGGTGGCAAATACTTTACAAAAAGACCTGCTTAAGTGAGGAGATGTCCTTTATCCAAGATCAAATATTCAGTGTTTGAGGATAAAATACTGAAGTTAAGATTATATTACAACTAGTGATGGAACTGGTAAAAAGACCCAGTGTTTGGAATGCTCCCACGAGTACCCCTCCAGCCCAGCAGCCCTGACTGCCACATAGAGGAGGACTGGATTATGACAGTTATTTACATTGGGTTTTCACCTGTGGCAGCTGAATAAAATCAAAGATTTTCAGTTAGTTGATGTTTGCAGTTGACTTTTAATAAGTCTTTATAATCTTTAAGAGGTTTACTTTTATTCCAATTTCATTAAACTTTCTAAAATTAGGAGTGAGTGTTGAATTTTATTAAATTCCCATCTAGTGTTAAATAGCAGTTTTCTCCTCTAAGTTATAATGTAATCTTAAATTGATTTATTGCTTGATTTTTGGACCATTCTTGCATTCCTAAACCATGCCTGCCATGGTCAAGACATTATTCTGATAGGAATGTATTATATCTGCTAATATTTCATCTGCTATTCTATATTTATCTTCATAAGAATAAGAGGTAACTATTGTTTACATGTAAGTATTAAGCCATGTAACTCTTTGTTATGTGTCAGAAATCATTCCAAAAAGGCATGGAGTCAAACTTACCTCATAGGTTGAGTTTAGATATGGAAGTTCTAGCAGTTCTACCAAATCAGAAATCCTGATAGCTAACATTTATTGAGTGCTTATTTTGTGTCAGTTACTCTTTTAACTGTTTTGTATGTATTAACCCATTTACTTCCTATTGCATTCATATGAAACAGAACTTATTATCCCCATCTTGTGATTGAGGAACTGAGCCCTGGGATGCAAAGAAGTCCATTCAGGGTCACATGAGTGGTAAATGGTAGAGTCAGGATTTGAACTCAGGCATTCTGGCTCCAGAGTCTATGTTCTTCACGATTAGGCAGTATTCCCCAGCATGATACTGGGGGAAACACAAACCCCAGGAATTATTTGCTCAAAGATGGAATCTGATGTAATCATTGTTCACATGACTATTTAAGCAATGTAGAATATAAGAAATACCATAATTACATCTATTAATATAGTACTATAGATTGGGGGAATAACTAAGTATTTAAAGACTTAAATATTACCAAAGTAACAACAATTTTTTTTTTTCTTTTCAGCAATCTTGACACAGAAGAACTCTGTGGTAAGTTGTGGTATTTTGGGGGGAGGGGTGGGCAATCAAACTCACTACTTGCTTTAGGATGAAAAAGAACACCATCTTATTTAAATTTCTACATACCCTGAAATTAATGTCCTAGATTTGGAATATAGTAAAAGATAATTGAGATCTCAAAGGATTTATCTTCATCTGTTTTACTCAAGTGTGTGTTTCAGTGGAGAAAGAGTTGGGGCTCATTAATTTCTTCATAGAGAAGAATTGTTTTGCACTTGGTACAATTAGTTTAACAATAGCAAATTCTCCCCTAGTTTGAATATATTTTTACATTGGTGTTTAATACAACTTCATTATTCTCTTCAAGTATATTGCCTTTACTACTGTTTTTGCAAAATTGACCCCCTTGACATATAAAAACAACTTTGTTCCATACCTCCCTGAACAGTTCTGGAATTTTAAATGTCACTTGCAAAACGAGTTTCAGTAGACAGGAATTTCTACAGATTCCTGACTTATAGCCTCTTCATTTATTTTCTTCATCCTCATGGTTGGAAACAAAAGTCAAAGGCTAGGAATGTGGAAAAGGCCAACATTTCTGCGATTTATTTTTTGTTGTGAGAAAATTATGAAGCATTCTGAGACTATTCAGTGTGAAACAGCTATTTTTCTCTGAACGTTGGGAGGTTTTAAGTTATATGTTTTAAGGTAATTATATAACACCTTGTCCAAATTTGATTTTATTGTCTAGGTTTTTTAAAAATAATTTTACAGATGAGATTCTCTGAAACTCCTAACTGAAGTCACAAGCGCTTCCTGAACATCTTCTAAGTCTTACAAATTTAAAGTTTACCAAATCATCACAAAGTCCATTTTAGAGTATACAAGAGTGGTTATCTTCCATTTCATTAAATGGTAGAGTGACACCGAGTGAGGTTATGTCAGAAAAAAAATATCAGAACACATGGTTTCAAGAAAATAACGAACAACACAAATATGAAAATCCCCATAAGCTTTCCAATTTTCCAATGGTCCTAAAACACTGTTTTCTGTTCCTGCAGTGTCTCTCTCCTTTTCAGTGAAAATAATCCAACTGAAAAGCAAGTTGTTTATGCAGAAGCAAGGTTTCTGGTACCAAAGCAGGTCATGATTTTGTTAATTATGAAACACTAATAAAGAAAAACCGGGAAAATCCTGACCTGCTTCTACACATAATCCAACCATGACCCATCCACACACGGGTACTAAACTGTGCCAAGTGGGCCAAAGGGCCTGTGGGGGCTATGGCCACCAGGCTTTCTAAAGAATAGCAATAACTATAAAGGTCAAGTTGTAGTCTATTCTCATCCATGTGTAGATGGTACCTGCCAGTGAAGTGGGGAGATAAAGAACTGAGAAGATTATCTCGATAATTTTGTGAGGTTGGGAGACCCATTTGCCTCAAGTGTCTAGATAGGTCAGGCCAAAGTAATGCTTTCCTCAAATCATCCAGATAATTCTTTTTGTTTTCTACTCAACTTTGCCTGGGTAGGCATGGCTCATGAGAAAGCACACTGTTATAAGGGCTTTTAACATGACATTTAGTGGTTCTTCTTTATTTGCTATGTTGCTTATGTATTGTCACTAAGGCATATTACATTATCCTCTCTTAGTATGATTGTGTATCTTCACTTAATCCTCTACCAAAAAAAAAATGTTTAATTTGTTTCTATAATAATAGAACTAGATTAGGAAACTACTCTGCATTTACTGGAAAAAGCTTTGACTATGATTTTCCACATAGTTAGGGAACTAGTATATGGGGTGTTTTGTTTTGTTTTTGTTGTTTTTTTTAAGAGAGAGCATGCATGCAAGCTGGGGGCCGGGGGGAGGAGTGGGGCAGAGGGAGAGACACAGGGACAGAGAGAGAATCCCAAGCAGCCTCCACTCTGAGTCAGAGCCTGATGTGGGGCTTGATCTCAAGACCCTGAGATCATGACCTGAACTGAAATCAAGAGTCAGACGCTTAACTGACTGAACCACCCAGGCATCCCTAGTATATGGGATTTTAATGCAACCAAATTGCTCTGTATTTTTAAACCCAGTGATTGTACTCCCAATCATATATTATAACCCTCCCCCTCTCTGTTCAAGAATATGCATTTTAATTTCCAGAGTATAGTTTCATGTCTTGTTATTTTGTAAATATAAAGTAAATATTTAAGTTGGATTCTAATCAAAACCAAATGCTTTAGTGCAAGCAAATAAAATCTGTCGACTCACACCCCACACAAATTCCCCCTTGTGCATGGGAGGGATGGGACTTGATCAGTATGGAAAGCAGATTTCATGTGCTCTTTCATAGAAGCAGTTAAAAGGTCCAGGTATCTAAAACTTTCATTCTGTTGCTTTTACTTAGTTTGTTCTTTTACTAAATTAAGGACCTAGAAATCAAAAGCTATTAAAATAAAGTATTGATTTATTTTAGTTATGAAAATAATAGTTTTTAAAATTTAATAATACAGAATAACATAGGTATTTAAGATGGAATGTCAGTCTCCTTTTCCCCCCTCCCCTTTTTCCCTAATGTCTGCTGCTAACTGCTTAGAGCATCTCCTTCCAGATATTTTAATTCATAAATTGACATCATACATATGCTGGGATAATTTTTCCAACAGTGAGATCATACTGTATGATCAGGACAGCTGCACACTGTTTGTTTTATTAAAAAGGCTGCACATGTGCTGCATTTACCTTCATTTTTTTCAATCAAACCCCTTTTTGTGGATTTTCAGGTTGTTTCCAACTTTTCACTTGGACAAACAGCATTGAAGTAAATATCTTCATTTGTTTTATATTCATACTCTTGTAGGAGTTGTTCTACATGGTAGATGCCTATAGGTATAATTACTTGGTCAAAGATTCTTCGGTTTGCACGCCCACCAGCAGTGTTGAGGCATGCCACGTCATTCACTCTTCCCATAATTAGGGAGGCCTGCCCAAATAGAAGCTTTAGGCCATATCTTATCAGTCAGTATATAACTCACTTACAGCTAGGTATATGTGTTTGAACTCTAGCTTTGAGTCTTTGGTTTTCTCTTCATTCCATCTTCAGCTGTGATCTAAAATCTATCAGGAGTAAAATTATTACGTTCCTGACCCAACCCAGGGCTGAAGGATAGAGGCTGAACGAGTGACCTCAGTGTGACCCCTGGGCAGTGCTGAGAGGTACCTCTGCCAGCCAAGTCGAATGCTGGAAAATCAGAAGTCACTATTCCTCTTCCAGACTGTTAGAACTGTGGCTCCCTGGCACATTTATAAAATCACCAAAAAAAAAGGGGCACCTGGCTGACTCATAATCTCAGCTCAGAACTTGATTTCAGGATTGTGAGCTCTAGCACTGTGTTGGGCTCCATGCTGGCTGTGGAGCCTACTTAAAAAAAAAAGGAAAAAAATCACCAAAAAAGAGATATAAAACATTTTGCATGACACTGATATGCGTTCTCTCAAAATAACCCACATTCTTAGATTCCCAACTGACACCTCTATTCAGAGCATGGGTGTTCTCCCCACCTCTCCGTTCTCTGTCCAATCTCAGTATTTTCCTCCCAATCTAGTATACTGTTTGGGAAGCTATGGGGAGGTACGTACTGTAGGATTTTCATCTAAACTCATGAGAATGCTTTGTGAGATCAGGTCCCAGTGGGGCCTTGGTGGAGGGTATGGGGCTCTGGTTCTGACTTGAAATTCTTAGGCCAAACCTGAAAACACAACCACCTGGAGGATTAAGAGGCAGTCTAGGAAAACAAAACAAAACTTGGTGATGTGACACCACCAGTTAAGTATAGTAGGGAAGGGAGAAACTAACCTTTGGTTAGCATATTAGCAAAGATGTTGCATTGAATTTCCACGAGGAGATAATTTGCTTTCTGATAGGCAACTTGTCAAATAAGTCTGTTTATAAATCATGCTCTATTCTCTTATAAAACAACGTTCAGACTCTTACCGTTCAAAGATTCTTCACTTAAACTGATGAGGATTCGTTGTCACACATTTCCATATGTGCTATACAATTCTGCTTTGCCTCTTGCCCATGGAACTCACATGCAGTTTTCAATAAAAGTAGATTTCTCCGGGAAATTATTCTAGTTCTCCAAGGACAAGAGTTTTTATTTTTTTCCCCACACAGAACAATGCAGCTCTTTTTATTTTGTCTTTTGATACTATAGCAAATCATATTATAGACTTTAAGAAAAAGTACCCTACGCGCAAAAGATGTAAAAAGAGTTCCACATATAATGGATTCTTTGGGGACTGTCCTGAGACCATGCAAATATTCAGCACTTTATCTGTGTTCTGTAGATATTGAGTTGAATGGATAGATGTCACCCTGAGGGGGTGTCCCCATCTTCACTCCTGCTTGGCTTCACTCTGACCCTTTGTGGCACATGTGAAATGAAGCTCTGAGCCCAGGCCTGCTCTGTGAAGCTGTCTCTGATTCCCTGCAGAAGGACTTCAGCATTCTTTGATCTGAAATTTTTTTTTGGGGGGGGGGGGATGATTAATCCAAAAATATCTTTATTTCACAGTAGGGTACTGCAGTGTGTGATTTGAGATCTAATCCACATAACATTTATTTCAGGTATATAACAATGATTTGATATTTGTTTATATTATGGAATGATCACTACAGTAAGTCTAGTTAACATCCATCATTACACAGTTTGTCTTGTAACGAGAACTTAAAAAACAAATGATGCCCAAAGTTAGTAGAATGAAGGTATTAACAAAGATCAGAGCAGAAATAAATGAAATAGAGACCAAAAAGACAATAAATCAATGAAATTTTTCTATAGTGACTGTGCCAATTTACATTCCCACCAACAGTGTACAAAGATTCCCTTTTCTCCACATTTTCTTTTTTTTTTAAAGAGTTTTTGTTTGTTTATTTGACAGAGAGAGACACAGCGAGAGACGGAACACAAGCAGGGGGAGGGGGAGAGGGAGAAGCAGGCTTCCCGCTGAGCAGGGAGCCCGATGTGGGGCTTGAT